AGTCAACAAAAAGAAATAAAAACTTAGGAATAATAATGTTAATTTTAATTTTAATTTCAAAAATAAATATTATATTATTAAAATAAAAGTTTTAAATAGAACTTAAATACCAACTGTAATAACAACTAATTAAAATGATTTTTCAAATGACAAAAAATTTATATAAGCTGATATAAATTAAAAAAAATTTTAATAAATAATTCTTAAATTTAAGGAAGTGTAAAAAAATAAAAATTAAAATAGCAGGATTAAGATTAAATTAATAAAGTTAAAGATAATAATAATATTTAAACAATATAATTTAAAAATAAAGAAAATAATAATAAAAAAAGATAAAAAAGTAATTATGAATAATAAATTTTAAATACTAGTTAATAGAAATCAGTAAACAGTTGTTTAATATGTTTCGATTCTGTACCGAATTCTATATTTCAATAATGTGGTCATGGAGGTATTTAAATATAATATTGATTTTTCTAAAAATTTAAATAAGGTTTATGTTATTAATGTGCTATAGATTTAATGTAAAAAACTTAAAAATGTTACCTTTGTAGATAAGTTATAATTAAATAAAATAAAAAAAAATATTTATTCATTTATTTATTTATTTATTATTTATTTATTTATTTATTTATTTATTCATTTATTTAATATTTTATATTTTTTTTTTTTAGAATATTAATGAAATACTTAAAATAGATCCTGAAAGTAAATAAAATGGGATATTGAAAGTTATAACATCTACATAATATTTTTAAATTTTATAAGTAATTTTTTTCAATAAATAGTATATTTTTAATTTTTTTTTTATATTTTTTACTATAAGTCTTGAAAAAACTATATTCAATAAAATATTTGCATTTATTTTTTTCATTATATAATAAAAAATACTCAAATTTTATTAATTTGTAATAATTGATAAAAAAAATTATATATATTAATATTAATATTAATATTATATTAATATTTATATTTATAATTTTATATTTATAAATTTATATTTTATTTAAATTTAAAATATTTTTTATTCTTTTTTATTTAATAAATTTATTTAAAATTAAAAAATTTAATTTTTTTTTATATTTATTAATTTTATTTCATTTTTTTTATTTAAGTTTTTGTGAATATACTTTTACTTGATCCTTACTTATATAATCTTATTATCTGTTATCTTAATAGTTTATTTTATCGCCAATTTTTTTATTATTATTTAATTTTTCCTCTTAATAATTTAATGCTTCATTGTTAATATTTTTATTAATAATTGAAAGATCAATTTTTTATTATTATTATTATGTTTCTGCTTTTTTAATAGAATTATTAATAATAATTGTTTTTATGACTTTCTATTAATTTTTAGCAAATTTTTTTCTAAAATAGTACCAGGAAAGTATTCAGGAATTCCAGCAAATCTTCTAAACTATGCATTTCTAAAAGGAATAGTTAAAAATAATTAACATGCTGCTGAAATAGCCCAATATAAATTGAGACCTGCAGGGAAAAAGCCTAATATAGGAATACCAAAAAAAGGCAAGTATTTAATGTAAGGTTAAATCTGCCTAAACATAGGAATATTTTATCGTGAAATATTAGAACTATAATTAATATTCAGATAAGACATAGAAGCAGATATAATTGGCAAAGCAAAATAAGGATCATAAACAGACAAATCTTTGAACCAAAGGATTCCTTCATTTAAAAGCGCTGGATATTTCTCAGGTAAAGATGTTACGTATCTTAAAGAAAAAACCAAGTCATAAGGAAAGGAATTTGGAGAAAATTAAAAAAAACACAGAGTATTTTATTCCATATCTTGATAAAAGCTCAAAATATTAGCTCTAGCATTCTCTAATAGATTATAAATTTCCTGACATTTAATGTCTTTTTACTTGCTCATTAAATAGTTTTGTTTCTGGCTCTAATAATTATATTTTTTTTTATATGGCTTATGATTATAATATCGGAAGCGCAAAGCATAACTTTATTCCAAATGATATTAATGCTATTGATATTCCCAGTCCTAAATTACAATCATCAGCTAAATATAATAATAAATCTCGAGAATATGCATCTAATTACCCATATAAATTTCCTATTGATAATTCACTAAGCTTATCTAAAAAGTCATGAGGTATTTTACAATTTATAGGCTTTATGGATTGAATTACATTTGATATATCATAATCGTCTTTTTTTTAATTTTTTTATTTTTTTATTTTTTTATTTTACTATATGAATTTAATGAATATGGAGAATTCTCTTAGACCCTTGAAAATAATTAAGAAAAGTTTCTTGTTTATTTAAAACATAATTAATATTCACATCTTAAAAATTTTTATACTCTTAAATTATTTGTATTTTTAAAAAAATTTAACATTAACTTTATTTATTATAAAATATCTTTATGTAAATTTATTTTATATAAAATATATATAATATAAAATTTTTTATAATTAAATTTATTAAAAATAACCTATTATTTAAATAAATATTAAAAAAATCAATATATATATAAATACATTACATAAATATATAAATTAATAATAAATATTTATAAATCAATCTATATTTTTTAATCTTATAACTTAATTACTTTTGTTTATTTATATATTTTATTAATCGAAATTTAAATTATTTTCTGGTAAGTATTATAAATTACTTATTAATAAATTATCATCTTCTAAATTTCTAAATAATTATCTAAAAAAATAAAATTGTTATTTTCTTTTTTATTAATATTTATTACTTAACAAAAATCATTTTTATTATTTTATTAATTATTATATATAGATCCTTAATTTTCATTATTTTTATATTAATATGTTTATAGATTTAATGGAGTTAAAGATATATTGTTATTATTTTCATATTAATAAATTTAACTAATATTATTTCTTTATTTAAGTTAAATACAATTGTTAATTAATAAAATATTATTTTGAAAACACATATCATTTAAACAATTTTAATTTAAATAGTTAATATATTAGAACTATTAATTAAAGAATATTTTAAATTAATAAAAATTATATTAATAATCTTAATAATCAATATAATTGATTGACAAATACAGAGATTTATTAGACATTTATTTTACTTTCCTAATGTGTTAATTATTTAAAAGCCACTCTAATTTATTTATAAATTAATTTTTTAAAAATTATAAATTATATTATTATTATTTTTATTATTTTATATTATTATTATTATTATTAATTATTATTATTATTATTATTATTATTATTATTATTATTATTGTTATTATTATTGTTATTATTATTATAAATTAATTTCTTAAATTTTTTAATTTAATTAGTTTTTTATATTTTTTCAAATTAATATATTTTCGTTATTATATTATCTAACAATTAAATTTTTGTATTTATTTTTTATTCTTTTTTATTAATTTTAATTTCTTTTTCTAATAAAATTTATTTTTATAATTCAAATTTATCTTTATTTATTAATAAATTTTATTCCTTTTAGTAAAATTCTTATTCTTTTTTTTTAATTTTAAACTTCCATATTTAATTATTGTTTGTTCTTGTATTAAATATTCATGTTTTTTATTAATTATTTAGTTTATTTATTTTAATTGTTTCTTTTTATTCAAAATTTTTTATTATTATTATTTTTATTCTTAAACTAAATTTTCAATATCTATTTAATTTTTCAATTAATCATATTTTTTGCCTATTTTACTTTTTGAAAATGTTATATTTCTTATTATATTATAATTTAATTTTTTTCGAATTCAATAATTATTTGTTTTTAATTATAGTTTTCATTAATGAAATTTTTTTTTTTATGAATATAATTCGTATTTTATTTTTTTAAAATATTAATTCAAAAAATAATAAAATCTTGATAATTTTTCTTTATTTTATAATAAAAATTACTTTTCTCTTTCTTTATTATTGTCAATTAAGTTAAAGTTTTTTTTATTTTTTTTTATTTTATAAATATTTTTAAAAGGTTTTTAATTAATATTTTATTAAATTTTCATTAATATTATTATGGATAGGCTTCATACTTTAAGTACTAATTCTGCTTTCTAATTTTGTATACTTTTTAAATTACTTTATCCTTTTTTATTGTCTTTTTTTTATAAAATATATATTTTAACAAAACATATTAAAAGATTTAATAAAAATACTTCTTTTTTTCATTTTCATTAATCATATTTTCATATAATTAATTTTAATTTAGATCTTTTAATTTATTATCTTTTTCATAATAAAAATAATGTAAACTCTCATTATTTTCTTATATACAATATTATAAAAAGTCAATATTTTATTTGTTTTATTTGTATTAATTTGTTATATTTTAATAACTATTTGAACGGTGTTTATTGTTTAATTATATTTATAATGTGCCTTCTTTTTATTCTATAAAATTAATAATAATTATTAAGATTTATAATTTATTTGTTTTATTTTAAATAAAATTTAACATTTAAACATTATTTTAATATTACTATTATTTAACATGTAATCTTTATTTACATTATCTTTAAATTAGCAAAGTTAATCAATTTTTATTTATTCTATATACTAAAATTAAATAAGTGTATTTAATAAATAATTTAATACCAATTTAATCGAAATTTCTTTTGTTTTTTATTCCATAATAATTAATTTGTTTCCTTTTTTTTATTAATTATTATATATTTATTATTTTTATTTTTTAAAAATAAATTATACTTTTTAATTTTTATACATTTGAAATTCATTATTTATTAAAAAATTATTATTCTTTTAATATTTTAAATATTTTTTAATAAATATAATAAAGAAACATACTATTTAATAAAAAAACTAAATATCATATGGATAATAATTTATTAATAGAATAATTTATTCTAATGGGTTTAGAAAATAACTAAGAAAGTAAATTATAATAAACTATAAAAAAACAGAAATCAATTTATTTTAAATTAACAAGCCCTCAATTATAATAACATAATAAATAATAATCTTGTTCCTTCCTTTATAGACATGTATCCTTATATTTTAGGTAAAGTGCCATAATATTTAGAAATTCTAAAACATGTAATTGAAAAAAAACAAAAATAATATAATTTTATTTTTTTAAATAGTGGTGTTTCCCAGATGGAGTTACAATATATAATGAAAACTTTTAAAAAATAAATGGTTAAAAAGATTTATATAAGTAGAATATAAATTAAAACCAAAATCATCAAGCATCAAATTAAAAAAATAGTATAATGAGTAAGAATAATTTACATCATTTTGTTTTAACAAATTAATATTCCGATAAAAAATATTGTTCATGTTTACTTATACATGTAAATAAATTTTCCGTATATATATTAATGAAAAAATAGGAAGAAACAACAATAAATATAAATAATAAAGAATTTGAATAAAAGAATACAAAATAAGCATTTAAATTTGATACAAATTAACTTTTTTTTCCAAATTAATTAAAAATATATATACCAAAAATATTATGTTTAGTTTCAAGTACTCCTGTATTAGAATTTTAAAAATAATTCTTAGCTTTCTTATATAAATATGGTATATAAAGTAAAATGTAAGCTATTCCTTAAAGGATAATGATCCATGAACACTTTTATGAAGAATTTAACAGATTAATAAATGAAGACTAGAATTTTGCAAAGGCTGAATATAAATGGGATAATGAAATTTATTAAAAATGCTAAGAAAGAATAAGAATCGATAAAAAAGGAAATTTATTTAAATTAAAAGAAGAATATATAATTCATTTTAGCATTTCTATGCTTTTTAGGATGCATACGTTAGAAAAAATATATTAAAATACTGAAATAATATTTACTTTGGCAAAAGAAGAAGTTTGTAGGTTACGTCCTTTTCGTGAAGAAGATAAAAAAGATAATTTTTTTTAATTAAATAATTTCAATTTTAAATCATTTTTTGAAAATATTTCTTTAAAAAATATTTAAGTACTTCTTCAAGCTATCCTTCTTGAAAAATAAATAATTATTGTTTCTTCAAATCCTAATGAAATTATTAACATTTGTGAAGCTATTTTTACACTTATTTATCCTTTAAAATGGGTTTGTATTTATATTCCTTCGCTTCCTCTTTAATGTACAGAAACTCTATCTGCAACGACTCCATTTATTATTGGGATTTCTAAGTAAAATTATGAAGCAATTCACAAAAATTATTTAAAAGATAAAGTTATCATTAATTTAGATGATGATTAATATATATTTAATGAAGTATATTTATTTTAATTCTTTTATTTTAATTTTTTTTTTTTAAATAAAATAGAATATTGGATTTCCAGAGAATTTAAATTAATTTTTAATTATGAACTTAAATTAGTTATTTGAAAATTATAAAATTGGAAAAAAAGAAAAAAATAATTAAAAAAAGAATAATTGGATAAAATTAATTTTTACATTAAAATATATTTTCCTTAAATTTATGATTTCTTTACTTAATAATATAATTCCTTATTTCTTATATTCTGATTAAACTGCATCTTCTTCTTTTGCTGCTAAAGATATTTTTGCACATGAGGATTATATGAAAATATTTTAAAAGGAAGAAAAGCAATTTATGTTTGAGTTATCAAAGAATACTATGGTAATTTTATATTTTTCTAATAATTTTTTATTTGAAACAAAAAAAAAGTTTTCAAAATTTATTGAAGATTTATATAAAATATTATATTAAATTGAATATAAAAAACAATTATATTAAGGAGAGGACAAAGATAACTTAATTTTTTTATAATAACTTCCAAAAAATTACTTTAAAACATTAATTAATAACTTCATGATAAAAAATTTAATATTATCCAAAATGAATTATTATTTACCACTGTAGAAATCGAATTACAATCTTAAATAAACTAATCTATTACTAATTATTCTTCTCCTTTATAAATAGATTTAACTTAATATGTAATTAAATATTTGAAATTTATAGAAAGCAAAGTTAATAAATCTACATTTTTTATTTCTCCAAGTAATTGTAATATTAATTCAAATACTAATACCACACATAATAAAATATTATTTGAAAAACTTGATAAATAACTTCTTATGCCAATACCTTAAGTTATTAAAAAAGAAAAAATTGATTAAACAAATGAAAATAAGAATATAATTAATAGCTAACTTACAAATAAAAAGAGAAATATATCATAATATGAAAGCGATGCCTTAGATTTGATAAAAAATAAAGAAAATAATTAATTTTAGATAGACGAATCATGCTAAGAAGCCGAAGTTATTAATAAACCAATTATTTTTATGAGAGATTTTTAAATAGAATATGATGAATAATTAAATAAATAATTCAAACATGAATTTGATAAAATGAAGCTTAATTATCCTTTTGAAAACAGAAAATGGGATCTTAAAATGCCATCTAAAAATATAAACTTTTAAAAAAATAAAGGATAATAATATACAAAAATAAATGATAAATTATAGAAAATGCTTTAATCGAAAGGACAAAAAAAATGTATTTTTTATAATGGAAAAGGCATTGCAAACTAGAAATAAGTAAATTATAATGATTTAACTTTTAATAAGTTTAATATTTATACTGATACTTCAAAAAATGAAATCTAAGTGAATGTTAAATAAAAGAAAAGCATTTTTGATTAATAATAAAAAAATATAAACAATGATATTGAAAATATAAACTTTAATAATTATATTTAAAATTAAAGTTAAAATATTTAGCAGAACTATAGATATAGATCAAAGACAAGACCTTTATTTAATTGAATTATTTTTTTAATAAAAGTTATTTAATTACTATTATATAAATGTGTTTTTGCTTTTATTATTTTATATAAAGTTAATGATTTTTAATCTATATGTTTATTTATTTAAAAAAATATAATATTTAATTTTTTTAATATTAAAAAATTAATACAATAAATAAAGCGAAATTAATTATATATCCTTTTTTTCTAATTGACATTATTTAATATTTAATCTTGTCCATAAAAAAATATTAAAATTTTTATTTTATTAAATTAAATAATTCATAGTTATTCAAATAATTATTTATAAAATAATGAATAAATATTTGTATTTAAAATCAAAATAATTTAAAATTAAAACATTATCAATAAATATTATTAATCATATCTTTTAAATTTAAAAATATAATTTAAAATATTTATATATATATATATATATATAATTATTTAATAATTTAAATTTTTAAAGTTTCTTTTTTTTATTTTAATATTTTTTTTTAATAATTTTAATATCATTATATAAAAATTATTATATAAAAATAAATTAGTTCTTTTTAATTTAAAAGATATGAAATTAGTATAACTATAAAATAATTTTATTATTAAAAAATATTATTTAAATATAATAATAGTTTTAAATCAAACTATGTGTATTTTTAACATTATACATAATATTTTTTTTATAATAATTTTATCAAAGCAATTTCTATTAAAGTTAGTACAATAAAATATAAGAGTCTACATAAAATTAAAATTATTTTTAAAATAGATAAAAAACATCAGTTTTTATAAGTATTTTTTTATAAATGGGATTTTTTATTTTTTTACCTTTTTTTATTATCGAAATAATCTAATATATTTCTTTAAACAAAAATAAGAAAGTAAAACTAAATAAGTTGATTTTGATTTTCATATGCATAAATTTCTTCAGTATGCATTTTGTTATAAGCAAATTATTTATAAAGAAAAATTAAAATAAAGAATAAAAAATTACCTATTTATATAAGAATTCTCGTTAATTTGAAAAGAAAAATTAAAAATTAAAAAATTAATATAAAAAAAAGAAGAATGAAAAAATAAACATTTATATATTTTTATAAAAAATTATATATAAAATTAACTTATAAGAAAAAAGCAATAAAAAATAAAATAAAAAGAAATATAGAGAAAAATAAAATGAATAAATAATGTACAATTCCAAACATAATTTTTTAAAAACTTCCACCACAAATAATAAATAAAATAATACAATTTTTAGATCCAAAGGAGTTACCAAAAATGCGCTAAACGTGTAGATGGCTAATGTTATATATAGACAATAATCCTTTGTTTACATCAATTCAAATATTTGATATATTTTTTCCTACTGATATCTATTTTTTTAGTGATTTTGCCCAAAATGAATTATATATTCAATAAAAATAAAAAAAAGACAATCAAATATCAAATAATATAAACTTAAAATAACAATTTTAATAATTTAAATAAATAAATATTAAATTAAGTAAAATAATTTATTAATTTAGCCTTTTAAATGATTAATAAAATACTAAAATTTTATTTCAAAAAGAAATTTGGGCTTTAATAAAGAATCCTCCTTTACCAATACTTAAATTAAGAAAATAAAATGTAGGAAAATTTTCAAATTCTTGGTTTTAAAATAAACTGATTGATGTATTATATGATAATTCTAAAAATATATAGAACAATTAATCAAATTCTTTAAAACTATTAAGCAAAATTATATAGGAATAGAAGATATAATTACTAGATGAACTCGAAAATGAAATTTAAAATGAAAACTTACTAAAAATAAGGTATTCTTTATTTTAAAATGAATAAACTTAATCTCTTTTAATGTCTTTTATATAAACAATTAACTAAATAATAAAAATTTAATGTGAAGTAACCTATATTTATTTAAGAAAGCATACATTATTAAATGAAAAAGAAAAAAAACAAAATGGATTTGACCTTTTATGCGAATATAATTTAAAATGGAGTAGTTTTATTGCTTTTGTAAGTGAATTGGATGAATAATTATCTGAAATAATGCAATTAATAAATAATTATTTTGAATAAAAGAAGCCTTTTTACCCTAAATGTCCAAAAATGAGTATCTGGAGATTCGGCATTAAAATTTGGATTGAAGAAGTTTTTTTAAAAGATGAAATATATAAAGAACTTTTTAGCTGTTTTGGAAAAATATTATAAATAAGAAGAAATGAAAATCTTAAATTTTAAATGAAATAAAATATTTAAAATTAATTTGATAAATAATCTTTCTAACCAAATTAATTAGAAGGTATTTCTTTGTGTTTAATGAATAATTTTTTCAAAAATAAATAGTTTTAAACTAGATGTGAACATTCATATGATTTTTTTCATGAATTTTTTAATAAAAATTACATATAGGTAGATTATTTGTTAAGCTCTTTTGTTGAAAATATAGTTGATATTTCTATCAATGAATTTTCTGTACATTATCTTGGACATTCAGATATTTAAATGGACTTTCCTTATATTCAATTAGATAAACTCGTAGTTGGGTAAACTGAGAAATATTACTTTTATCATTAAAATACATTTTTAGATAATTTAAATGCTTATTAAGATTTTTTAATTGCTGATTTTAATTATTTGTAGAGTATTATGAAAGAAAAAACATAAAAATAAGCGCTTTAAATCCTTTTAGATAATTGGAAGTAAGGTTTTGGAAAATTTGCAAAAGAATAAATGGCAAAAATTTTATAAAATTTAGAGTTAGAAAAGATTTAAAGAATCCAAAATATGTATTTTTTGAGTGAAAATGAATTTTCTGCTTATGAATTTATAAAAAATTAATTTAAAATGATTTTAAAATTGAAGATTAAGAAAAAATTAAATCTCTTTTTTATTTGCTTAAATTAAGGTTTAAAAAAGAAATTGAAAATTTTGAATCTTTTCCGATTTTTTATTAATTAAATAATTCTCTTCTTGATTAAGATTAAGAATTAGAAATAATGAACAAATTAAGAGGAATTCCATTTAGATTAAATAAAGAAGAATAAAATTTCTTCTTTTATTCTTCTAAACTAACTCTTGAAATTGTTCATAAAACTGCCTTAAATTAATGTATTTTTTAATAAATTATATTTTTTTATTACAAAGTTTTTATTTTTTATAAAAGAAAATAATAATATAATTTATGATTCTTAAGAAGAAGAAAAGGAAAAATAAGAATAAAATAATTATTCTTATATTTAAGAAGAAGAAGAAAAAATAAAATATAAATATTTTGATAATTTAGAAAAAAGCAATATTTATGAATAGGAAAGTGATTCTATAGTAGATAATTCAGATACAATTTTCGAATAATTAGACAAATCTCCGAAAAATGAGAAAAGAAAATTGGCAAAATAATAGTTTTAAATAAAAAAATTAAAGCTTTATGCAAGAAAAACAGAAATAGAGTTTTTTTTCATAAGAAATTTTAGGCGAAAATAACAATAACGAATGTAACTTTTTAGATGATTTTGATAAAATAAGTATAAATAATGATGAGTAAGAAGGTGATTAAAGTTCACAATTTGAATTTTTCCCAATATAAACTTTCTAAAATAAAAATAATATTAATAATAATAGTAATAATAATAATAATAATATTAATAATAATAATAATAATAATAATAAGTTATTATTTAATTTACCTTAATTGAAATTAATTAAGTCTTTATTTTGAAAAAGTTTTATAAATAAAACTTTTTATTTATTTATTTATTTTTATAAATAAAAATATATAATTTTACGTATATATATATATTTTTTTTATATAATTTCATTATTAAAATTATATTTATTTTAAAACCTTTCCTAATTTTATAATATTATTATTTTCTAAATTAATTATATTGCACATTTTACTTTTTATAATACAACCAACATAAAATCATACTTGTTGTATATATTTTTATTTTACATATATATAAATAATTTCTTAAAAAAAAAAATACGGAAAAAATAATTTATTTTTTTGTCAATATAAATTATAAATATAATATTCAATTTAATAATTTTTTTTATTCAAACTGTGCTGAATAAAATTCTCCAATTTTCCCATGCCTAAGAAAAATAACATATCTTTTAAGTTCTTTGCCATTTTTTAAAGAATAAGCACAAATATAGAAATTTCCTTAGTCTTCTCCTAAAATCCATAATTCATCTTAAAATACCCCTAAACTTTATATACCTCCCTTAAAAGAGAAAAATTCAATTATTATTTCTTAAAAGCAATTTAATAATGCATTAAAAAATGCGCATTTAAATTTATTATTTGAATCGTTAAAAATTAAAACTGCTTCAAAAAAAGAGTATTTATGTATATAAAATTATTTTAAATCTTTCCAAAAAATACATTTTAAAGTTTCCCATATTTTTTTTTTTAAGTCAGTATCTTTCAACATTTCCTAGAGTTTCTCCTTTTTCATTTACTCCTCCAAAAACATAAATAAAATCCTACAAAACAATTGCTTAAAAGTTACATCTTGCTTCATTTAAACTATTTAATTCTTCTTTTTTACCACTTTCTATATCATAAATTTCACAAGAAGATAATATTTGATTTCCGGAACCTTTTCCACCTATTATATATAGTTTGTTTTCTATAAGAACAGATGCATGTAAACATCTTTTGTATAACATTTAACCAATATTTTTTGTTTGATAATTTTTTAGGATACAGATTTTATCCGAAATTTTATTTTCCGTTTTTTGTATTTCATAAAAAAAATTTTGTCTATTCGAAATCCGCTCTTTTTTTCCCTGTTCAAACTCAATTCCTCCAGAAATAATTATTTCTTACGAAAAATCGTTTACACAACTGGAACTTTAAATAAAATTAAGGTCATTTTTTATTAAAAAATTCTTATTTTTGTAACTTTTAATATCAAATAAATTAAATTAACAATCCGAAAAATAAATTAGTTCAGATTTTAATTTTAAATTTGGTAAAAAGAGATTTTCATTTGAGAAAACAGATAGTATTTTTTAGTTTTAAAGCCTTTCAAAAGCTGGAAAATCTAAAGGACGTGATAAAACTCCATTTTTAAAATCAAAAAAATTAACGATTATAAAAAATTAATTCTATTCGAAGAAGTGAAGGTTTTTTCCACTTTTTTAAACAAAAAACTTATTTTTTGATTCTTCAGAAAATTCTAAGAAAGGAGTTTTTTTAACTAAATTTAAGCCAGTGTTAAATACTTGTACCCATTTCGATTATTAAAAATTTGTTTTTTCTTATTTTATTCCACCAAATATTAATATTTCATTAAATCCGATTGGATAAACATTCATATTGTATCCACTAAATAATGTTCTACAACTTACTCTCTCCCATAAATTAAATATCGGATCGTATTTTTCAATAAAGTCTACAGCATTTCCTTAATTATCTATTCCACCAAATATATATACTATACCTTTTTAAACACAGGCTGAAAAGTCAGATTTTTGGCTTTCCAAATTGCTTACTTGTTCAATATTTTAAGTATTTTATATATTAATTCTTTCAACTTTTTTAGTTCGCTCGTTATCTTTTGTAATGCCTCCCATAATATACACATATGAATCCATATATACACAACAATGCCCTTATTTACGAGGAGTTATTAAATTATTTATTTCTTTAAATATAGATTTTTTTAAATCTAAAAGATATATTTTGGATGAAAAAGAGTCTTTTCCACCTATTATTAAAAATTGCTTTTTTTGGATTTAAATTATTTTTGATTATTCAGGTATTTAAATTTCATTTGGATAATTTTTTTCTTTTAATTAAATACCTTTATTAATATTATATGTAAGCAATTATAGTTAATTTTTTTAATTATGGACAAGAAATTTAATATTATTTTGTTCTTATTCAGATGAAAAAAAGTATTATTAAATATTTGAATGAAATGAGAACGCTTGTTAATTTGAATATTTTCTTTTAGTTAAAAAGCATAAATCAGATTTAATTTAAAGAGGGAATTACTATGTTTTCTAAAGGAAGAAATGCCTAACTTTTTAGTTATCTTCCCCGATTTCTTCTTTGAAAAAAGCTGTAAATTCTTAAATGAATTCTTATCCTTAAAAAGTCAGAAAAACAAATTATTTTTCTTAAAAAATACTTAAAAGAATAGATTATTATTAAATTATTTACATTTCTAAAAAATTGCCTTTTTTAAAATCAAAAACACCTTATTTTTTTAAATTTGAGTCGGCCAAAAAAACAAATTAACTGCATTCATTTTTTACAGAATAAAATTAGAAATAAAAAGAAGCTTCAAACGGTAATTAAAATTTCCTTTATTCCCGAAAATAATCATATTGTAAATTATATATGATTATTTTTTTATTAAATATTTGATTTTTTAATAAGCCTCCCAATAAAAATAATTCATTTTAATATTCAAAAATTTTACTTTTTAATAATTCAAAAGGTAATGGAGAACATTTCTCCCATTAAAAATTTAAAATATGGAATCTTTCACAAAAATTAATTGTATTTCCTTCTTTATCACATCCTCCAAATTTGTAAAGGAAAAAATTATCAAATTTTCTTTGAAAAAAAAAATAAAAAGAACTTTTTATTCCACCAAATAATGAAAGATAAGGAAGTTAATAGCATTATTTTGATTAAATATCAAATAAAAAAGTTTAAAAATTAATTTATTGTTTATAAATTAAACCTCCACAAAATATCATTTAATGAAGTTCATTTAAATAAAAAGCCTAAATATCTTAAATATTCTCAATATCATGAATATTATGTTAAAAAGAAGTGTTTTTAATATGATTATTTTCTAAAAAAGTAATTTGAGACTAAGAAAAATGAATTTAAATACATGAATTTTTAAAAAACTCAGAAAAAATATTTTATTCAATTAAATTATGGCAGATTTAAAATTTTTTATTTTTTTATTTTTTTAAAATCTTCTAAAAATCTTTCTTTCAAATAATTTTCTTAATATAATTTTCCATCAAAATTAATTTTTATATTTTTATCAAAATTAAAAATAGCAAAATAATTATTTTTTTAATTCAAAAATGTCAAAAAAGTGAAATCATTATATATAATTTCATCTTCTAAATAAAAACAAATCTCTATTTACCATTTATCCTTCTTTACAATCTTCAAAACACCCATTTTATTTGCTTAAAAAAGTATCCGAATTTCAGCTTTTAGACAAATTCCTTCTTTAAAAGTTATTTCCTATTCACTTAAAACATTTTAAATTTCCTATATATCCCAATTATCATCTATAAAAGAATAAATAGCAATAAAACTTAATTTTTAATTAATTGCTAATACATTATTTTCCCTAAAAAATAATTTTTTAGCCCAAAAATCTTTTTTAGGGATATTTTTAAGTTAAATCCATGAATTTAATAAAAAATCGAATTTTTCAAAGCTTTACAAAATTCCATCTAAACCTTATCCACCTAAAACATATATATTGTTTTCAAAATAGCCAATACTATGCGAAAATCTTGATACTTTCATATTTTAAAGTCTTAAATATTTATTTAAAAAAGGATTATAAATGTAACATTTTGACTATATATTTTTATCTTAATCTGAAATTCCTCCACAAATAAAAAATGTTCCGTTTGGTAAAGCCTCGATCTGACAGTATTTTGAAATTACTAAAGAAAAATTTATATTTTTTAAACTTTTCTTTATTGGGGCTATGTATTTTTCATTAAATAAATAAGGTTTTGATGCATAAATATTCAGTTTTTATTCAAAAGGTAAATTTTGATTTATTATATTTTATAAAAATTTACTGAATATTTGGTAAATTTTAAAAGAGTTGGTTGTTTATTAATTTAAAAAATTTAAATTTTATTTTTCTTTAACAAATTTTTTTAAAATTCAGTTTTATTTTTATATTTCTTCTTAAGATTTTATTGTTATTTAAGAATATTTTTGTTTAGAAAATAATGTTTGTTCAGATTATTCTTCATCAATTTATATAATTTTTTAAATTGATATTTATTATTTCGTATCTTATATTATGCTTTATTATAATTGTAGTTGCTACATTTCTTATTCCTTTTTTTTTTCTTCTTATTTTTTTTTTTTTTCTGCTTTTTCTTTTTCTGCTTTTTCTTTTTCAGCTTTTTCTTTTTCAGCTTTTTCTTTCTCTGCTTTTTCTTTCTCTGCTTTTTCTTTTATTAATTTATCTTGGTTTTCTTTCTTTATTTTTTCTTCTTATTCTTTTCTTAGTTTGTCCTATAAATCTTTTTTTTATTTTTCTTCTTGCTAAATTTTTAATCTTTCTTCTAATTCTTTCTTTAATTTTTCTTCTTATTCTTTTCTAAACATCTCTTCTTATTCTTTTTTTTATTTTTCCTCTTTTTCTTTAATCATTCTTTCTTTTTACTCCTATATAAGCCTTTATTCTTATTCTTTTCTTAAAATTTCTTCTTTTTCTTTTTATTCTTTTTCTTTTTTTTTATTTTCTTCAATTTCTAATTTATCTTTTTATATTTTTTCTTGATACTATAATTATTCTTCTTATTATATTTAATTAATAATATTGTTTAAAAAAATTAATGACATCCAATTTTTAATTAATAATATAAAGTTTCTTTTTTAAATATTTTTTGGAACTTATTTTGCTTGAATACTAAAAATAATATTTGCTTTAACCGAATTTTATTATTAAAAAATTATTCCATTTTGTTATAGTTATTAAGATTATTTTAGATTTGATAAATCTATTTTTATTAATCAATTAGAACATCTTTTTAATATTCTTTTGAATTATTTAATTATATAAAGATATAGTAATCCATTATGTTTCAAAAGAGATCTGTTCGAAATTAATGATTTAATTTAATTTAACTTTTTCTTTAGTAATATTAATACTTGGAGAGTATTTATTTTAATTTTAGCATTTAAACTCAACTAAATAACAACCAAACTTATTCTAAAAAACTGTAAATTGTTTTAATTCTATGTTAATATCCAAAGAAATTTAATCCATTTTTTAAAAAAATAAAAAAATATAAAATATATTAATATTAAAATAAATAATTCAATAAAAAATATGCAAAATATAATATTAAAATTAATAAATAATAAAAATATTATTTATATAAGATATTATAGTTAAAATATTAATATATTTATACATACATAATAATTATATAATTTTATTCCTATAAAAAAAATTAATTTAAAAATTATAATATAAAATAATGAAATTAAAAATAAACAATCTTTTTTAAAAAAATATTAAATTAATAATGAAAACATTAAAATGAAATAATAATATAAATATATAATATTTTATTTATAAAATATTAATAATATGTTTATATATATTATTATTTTAAATGAAATAACTAAAAATAATATTTATTATTATTATTATTATTGTTATTATTATTATTATTATTATTATTATTTTTATTATTTTTTTTATAATTTTTTTTATATATATTTTTTTAATTTATTTATATTTATATTTTTACTTATTAATTTTATTTTTAAATTTTTTTTTAATATTTTTATTCATATTTTTTTTAAATTTTTTTTTATTTATTTTCTTTTTTGAATATGCAATTTTAAATAGATTTTCTTATATTTCTATTATAATTTTTTTATTTATATTTTACTCTTTTTATTTTAAATTTTATTCTTTTTATATTTAATTATATTATTTTTATAAACAAAATTCTTATTCATATATTTTTTTTACTTTATTCAAATTATTCTGTTTGATTTGATTTAATTATTTTTATTTTTTTAATTATAATATCCTCGTTACTTTATACTATTCTATATTATATTTTTAAATTTGTTTGTATTATTGATTTATATATTAATCAAAAACGAATAAATTTTATATAATAATACTTATAAATACAAAAAATATATTAATTTTCCATTTTAATAATTTTTTTGTAAGTTATATTAGATTTTGAATTTTCGCCTTAATGTGTTTTTTTTGTATTAATATTGATTTAACTCCTTTTGACAACCAGTTTTTATTTGCATCTTATTATAAAATATTTATATTTATCAATAAAAATTCATATTATTTTTTTTATAATCTCTTTAGTAATGAGTTTGCTTTATTCTTGCGTTTTGCTATCTTTTTCTATGACATGCATTAATTTAATTTATATATTTTTATTTCAGCTCAATTAGTTTGTTATAGTATTTTTTTATCGAATAAGTTATCTATAATCTATTATTAAAATATTTCACACTTTTCCTCTTTTTCAACAATATTGATAATTTTTTTATTTCTTTATATTTTATTTATTAAATGCTTTTATTACTGATATTATGTAGTAATTTTATATCAATTATACTGCAAGCTTTCTTTAAAAATTATTTTCTTATAATTTTTAATCTTTTTTTGCAAAATAATTTTGTTATTAATTATTTTCGTAGTAAAATCAATAATAATCATATAATTATTAAATATATATAATTTTTTTCCTAAATATATTTTATAATAAGATAAATATATTATTTTTATCGAAAATATATGTATTTTATATTTTTTAAGTAATTTAGTCATTTTTTGGTTATAATTTTTATTTTAAAAAATTCTTTGTTTATCATGTTAATAAAATTATTTTAAAATTAGTATAATAATATAAAAAGCTTATTTTTTTATTATATAATTATTAATGTTTATCAATAAAATTATTTTAATATTTGTTTTTTTATTCAATATTTTATTTTTAAAATAATAATGAATAATTAAAATAATAGAAATAATAAAAATAAATATATAATTAACATAATTAAAATTTAAAAAAAATTAAACAATTTATATTATTGAATTAATTAAAATATATTAAATGTTGTAACAGCAGAACTTTAAAAATATCAATAATATATAATTTAAGTAAATTAATGAATATTTTTCATATAAATAAAATCATTCCTTTTCAGTAATATATTTGGATTATAATTTACCGAAACTAGATTCATCAGCTATAATATTTGAATATTTATTAGGCATATTAGGATAAAATTCTTACACTTTACAAAAGTCTATATAGTTAATATAGGTTCTATACTGTTAAAAGATTTTTTAAGTAAATTACCTAATAATTAATATCTATAAATTTATTATTTTTTCTAAACCCTAAAAGAAGTTACTTTTAATTTTAATATTAAAATTAAAATGTTCAGAAAACAGAAGAAAACTGAAGATTTTTTATATTCAACTGAGGCTATCTATTATATTAAAATAAAAATATATAAAAAGTAAATTTAAAATATATATAAAAATGCCATTGATTTTATACTTAATTTATTAATTAAATTAGAGATTTTATAAGAAAAGAAGAAAATTTATTTGTAAAATAATTAAAAAAATATATATAAAAAAGTTAAAAGAAAATAATTTAAAAGTTAAAAAAAATTTGAAAATTTTAATTATAAAATATAAAGGATTTGTTTTTATTTAGGTTTTAAATTACAAAATATAAATAATTATATGAAATAGTTTCATATAAAAGTAAATTACTAAGTATTTAATAGCTTTATATTTAAAAAAATAAAAAATTATGAAAAAATTAATATTTTTTATTTTTAATATATTTTATTCATAATTTAAAATTAATATAAATTATTTCCAATTAAAAATTTATTCATTAAGTATTTTTATTTTATATTTTAAATATTTCATTTAATTTTTTTTCGTAAATTAATTTTTAAATAATATATATTAAAATTTTGAATATTTAGTAAAAGTTTTTAAATTTTATTATTTTTATTTTTTAATATAGTACTAAAAAAGTAATAATTTTAATTTTGAATATACTGAAATTAATATTAATTTTAATAATTTGTATATTAAAATAAATACAAAAAACTAAAAAACAGAACAAACAATCAAAATATAATAGTTTACACACAATAAAGGAAAAATTAAATAAAAAAAATAAACTTAATAAATTAAGTTTTAATAAAAATATAATTTAATTTAATAAAAAAAATAAAATAAAATGAGAAAAAATAAAATGAAATAAAATAAAAATTAAATAAAATAAAATTAAAAATTAAATATAAATATAAATTAAAATAAAATATAAATTATTTATAATACAAAAATAATATAAACAAATTTTATTAAAATAAAATGAAAGAAATTATGATTACTTTTCTATTCATATAAGCAAACTATTTTATTATAGTTCTTCATATTTTTTATTTTATTTAATTAAATTTATTTGAATTATTTTAAATTTTAAATGAACTTATATCCAATAAAAAAGCTATAAATATAAGCATATAAAAAATTTATAATATTCATAAAAAATTTAAAAAGTAATATTTATTTATAACTAATTTTTAATTTATAAGTTTCTAAAATAAATTAAATATATAAAAAAAAATTTTTTTGAAAAATTATATTTAAATATTTTAGGCAAAATTTTTTTCCAAATAATTGCGTTTAAAATATTTATATTTTTAAAAAAAATTTGTAGAAATGCTATTAATTATAGAATTAAATTGAATATTTTAATTTAATATAAGAAAAAATTTATTTAAGAATTTCTTATAAAATATATATACATATAAGCATATCAATTTTTTTGTATTAAATAATAAGAATAAAGGATATCAAATTATGTAAAAATAAAATATAATTAAATAAATAAAATAAAATAATTTTTTTTTAAAAAAAGAAGATAATGATTTTTAATAATAAAATCATTTAATATAATTCAAATAAATACTATCATTATTATTTATCTTAGCATCTTAGAATGTCTAATATTCATCTAATTTATTTTAATTAAAATTAAATTCATATTTTTATCCTTCTAGTATGTGTTATTAAAGCTACTTCCTAAGAAACTCAATCTTTTGTTTTGGAACGACTTAAAATTTGCCTATAAGATTTTTTTCATTTAAAATATAAACATCTATAACTTAATTATTTTAAGGCATGGCTTCGTCGAATTTCTTTATAATTAAAAATATTATTTTCCCTTAAGAAATATTATTTTCTTCTAAGGTCGAATTATCCTTTAATTCTTTTCCTTCAAAAATAAGCCTTTGTTATTCTACTTTAATTCCAATTTATTCTAATATTTAATGTTTTAAATCAAATATAGTTTAGTTAAGATATAATATGTGTTATAAGTCTTTACCAGCTAATGTCCTTACAATAATTTTTACTTAACCTTCTAGCATAACATTTGAGGAATTATTTAATTATGTTTAATTTCGTCTTTTATAATTATTTATTTATAAATTATTTAATAAAAATGATAAAATGGTAAGCATCTTTTTATTAAAATTTATATAATATAATAAAATAAAATTATAGATATTATTTGATAAATACACATAAAATAAATTTATTTAATAAAATTTTTATTATTAAAAATAAAAATAATAATGTTATATATATATTTAAATAATTATTTTAATAAAATATTTAAATATTATAATTTATTAACAACAAAATATATTTATTTTTTTAAAACTAAATCAACAACAAATAGAACTTAATCAATTGTTTGTCACCTTGTTTATTACGAATTGTGTATATTAAATAAATGAAAAATGATTATTATTATAAATTATAATAATAATAATTTGTTTCAAATATTTATTTATATATAATCTATCTAGAATCATGCTTAGATATTTTTATAATTTATTAAAATACTTAATACACTAAATTAAAATTATTCAAATAAAAAAATGCATCTATTTTGATAATATTTTTTTTAAAAAGAAAATACATATGTATATATATTGAATTTTCTAATTTTATTTTTTTAAATTTTATATTTTTTAAAATTTTTTATCTTAACATTTAAATAAAATAACATATTAAAAATGTCAATAAGAACATTATTAGATATAGTAATCCATGTATAAAATTTTAGAAATATAGATTTATTTTATCAAGGCTTGTATTTTTTAAAATTTACAATTTATTAAAATTTACCAAAAGATTAAGTAAAGAAAATATATCAAATATAAAATAAAAATAAATAAAGAAATGTTATGCTCATCCATATAATTTAAGTGAAAACTACAAACCGTACTAAAACGATATAGAAGTATCAAAATAATAGAAGTTTAGCGATTCTTAGTTATTTAGGCCTTCAGGGATAGTTGACTAAACAAGTTCCTTTTATACAAAATCCTTTTTTATTAAATTTTGTGAAGAAGAAGTCGAACTTAATGACTTTTGTCATTTTAGATATGAAGTAGATGTAGATTAAAATAATGAAAATATAGAACTTTTTATGGATGTAGAATTAATGTTTTTTGATTGCATGAATTTAAATAACAATAATAAAGAAACAAATAATTTAAATTAAAATATTGGAAATAAATAATAATTGAATAATATTAATGAAATTAATTAATAAAAAGATTAAAATAATATCGATAATAATAGTGAAGAATGTTGTTTGTTTAATGATAGTAAATCTTTATAAACTTTAAAATATAAAATAGTTGATACATTTGAAGGTATTCATGAATTTATTCCAATTCTATTTGAAGAATAAAATTTTTGTGTTGCTAATATTATTTTTCATTCAGTTAAATTGGGTACAATATTTTTATTTATTTATTTTATAAAATAAAAAAAGATTATAGGTTTCGAGTTATTCCTATGTAAATTTCTGAATTTGCAAGAATGAAACCTGAAGAAAGAATAGCCTTAATGGAAAACTAAAAAAGTTAAAATATTCAAAAAAACCTTTCTGTATATGAACTCTTATAAAAGTAATATGGATGTAAAAATTTTTATAAAAAATATATAAATAATTTATATATATTTTTATAAATTTAATATAATTTTTTTAAAAAAAGAAATTGATTATAAAGGAATGTATAATTTGTTTGTTGAAAATTTAAAAAAAAGCTACAACAAATTGCTTAATCATCATGAAAAAATGAGTAGTAGATGCATATTAGAAAAGCAAAAAAAACATTTAAAAAATATTTAGTAATTACAAAATATTTTATTTAATAAAAATTTATAAATAAAAAAAGTAACCTCCAAGTAAATTAATAACTCCAGAATATGTTACATATGAAAAAATGAGAGAATAAAATAATGCCGTAAATCCAGATAGTAAAGATTTCAATAAAGTTTTAGAAGAAAGATTTAAAACTAAAGATATGGAAACGATAACTCATGCAATTTTAAATGAAGCAAATTTAATTAGCGGATAAATATTTTAATTATGGCATAAGTATCTTGATTTATATAAAATATCTCCTTTGTACTGTCAAGCTTTATTGAGATTTGAACATTAGGAAAAAATGAAGGAAAGAATGAATATTTTTATTATAAAATAAAAAATACTGAATAAAAATTTTTTCAAAGTTCATGAATAAAGCTTAGTTGAATAAAACTAAAAAGAGACTGATAAAAGGCGTCCTTTGTTATCTAGTTTAGAAAGAAAATACTTAAATGTTTTAATTTTATAATAAGTAAATAAAATATATTTAAAAAAAAAAGAAAATTGAACTTGTAAATACTATGAATATCAAGATTTCATAATATCCATTAATATATGAAGAATTAATAATCAAAGATTAAAAAGAAAAAATGAAGAGAATATTGTTAAATATATAATATATTTATTAATATATAATAATATTAAAAAAAGACTGAATGTGATAATTTAACAACAGAAAACGGGAACATATACTATAAAGGAATTCATTTATTTGTTTTAGTACACGGTTTCCAAGGAAATGCATTTGATATGAAATTATTAAAAAACTATATCAACTATTGTCATCCCGAAGCAATGTTTTTGTGTTCTTAATAAAATGAGGAAAACACAGAAGGAGATATAGAAGAAATGGGAAAAAACTTAGCAAATGAAATAATTACATTTATATAAGATAATTGTAGTGGTGAAAATTTAGGAAGGTAAATAATAAATATTATGTAAATAAAAATATAAATTTATTATAAAAGAATAAGTTTAATTGGATTTAGTCTAGGAGGAATTATAGTAAGAGCATCATTAACACATTTAGAAGAATATAAAACTAAAATGTATACTTTTATAAGTTTATCTTCTCCTCATTTAGGCTTTATGTATAATTCTAATAAAATTATTGATGCAGGAATTTGGATTTTAAAAAGATGGAAAAAAAGCTTAAGCTTATAATAATTAACAATGACTGATTATAAAAATATATAATAGACTTTCTTATTTAAACTTTCACTTTCAAAAGGGTTAGGTTGGTTTAAAAATGTTTGCTTAGTTTCCAGTTTTTAAGATAGTTATTCACCTTTCGATTCTGCAAGAATTGAAACGACTAAAGAAGCTATGAAAGATGCTGGGTTTAAAAAAAAAAAAAATCGTTAATTATAAATATTTTTTTAATTTAAAAGAAATGGAAAACTTTATAATGAAATGTCTTAAAATATTTTAAGTTAATTAACTACAAATTAATTATATAGATTAGATGTTCATTTTGATATTTAAGAAAAGTATATTAAATATTATATATTACAAATATTTATATAATTCTTTGTAGAAATATTGATACTTTAATTGGAAGAGCAGCACATATATAATTTATTGAATGTTAATAACTTATTAAAATTCTTGTATAAAGCTATGATATGTTTTTCAGATGATGTTTATATTATAAATTATATTAATCAAATGAAATTTTTCGTTTAAAAATTTAATGATTAATTAATTAAAATATAATAAATAGAATTTCAAATTTAAAATTTATATAAATCAACTTTTAATAATATAATTTATATTTTAAAATTTTCAAAAAAAAAAACTTTGTAAATTATTTGTTTTTTCAATTTTTAAAAAAGTAATTAATATAAATTAATTAGAACAGACGCAGTAAATTAAAAAACTAAATATTTTTAGATAATTTCAAAGCCAGAGATTTTGTATTTCTAAAATTCTTAATTAAATTAATTATTTTGTTAATACCGATGCAGATACTTCCTATTATGTGTTTTCTATGAGCAAATTTAAAAAGCTAAATATAACAAAAAAAGTAATATATGGCGCATTAAATATCTTTTATATGAAATTACGATTTTAAATCTACCTTAGTTTACTTTAAAGATATAATAGGGAGTGTTTGAAAGAATACCTTTTTAACATAGTAAAGTCTTGAAGAAGGAAGTTAGTTCAATAAATATTATAAATAGACATAATAAAAAAGCATCTTATGTAGAATTAATGAAAAAATGGTAAAGAATAGGAATAAATATAAATGATAAAAATACAATTTAAAAATACAAAAAACAAATAAAAAAATAATGAAATAAATTGAATTGAATAGTTAAAAATAGAAAAAAAATAAACATAAATTAAAGAAATTCATAAAGTAATAGAAATAATTTTTACAATTAAAAAATAAAATTCATACAATATAGAAGAATAGAATAAAATTTAATAAGATAATAAGAGGAAAAATAATGTTAAAAATTTTCAAATTGTTTCTATTAAAATATTTTTTATTATTAAAATAATAATAATAATTTCTAATTATTTAATTATATAAACTCAAGTTTAGTACATTGTTAATAAAGAATTTAAATCTTTTAAAATCTAAAAGATATTAATTCCTTAGGAAAATAAGTAGCAACTTTAAATTTGTTTAAGCTTAAAAAAATAAATATGAATAAATAATTGTAAATAAAATTATATAAATCTTTTGGTTTTTAAAATATTAATAAATTAATTTATATCATAACAGTTATAAGTCCACAAAATAATAAATAAATAAATTAGTAAATTAAATATAATAAAATATAAATAAAAATAAATAATTATAAAATAATAGATTATAATATATATAGGATAAAATATTTTAATTAAAATATTTAAAAAAAATAATATTTAAAAAAATATTATTTAGTATTTATTCCATATAATTAATAAGTATATATTTTTAAATTTAATAATTTTGTTATTTATTTTTAATTATTATATTTAATTTTTAATAAAAAAGAATTAGAAGAAATTTAAATTTTTTTAAAAATATAATATTCTTTTACAAAATCAAATTTCAATGAAACCTCATATATTTTTTAAAAATATATTGATTCTATTCTATTTTAAATATAAAATAAATTTTACTTCAAATAATTGTTTCAACAAATTAAATTAAAAAATAATTTAAATTTTGTTCATATTTAATTTAATTTAATTTAATTTAATTTAATAATAATAATAAATAAATAAATAAATAAATAAATTAATAATCTTCTTAAAAATTGTATATTTTAGTAATCTAAAAAAAAAATTCAATTATTTTTAATATATTATATAAATTTTTTGTATAAAAAATTATTTTTTTTAAAAAATAAATTTATATTTATTATATTGTTAGCATAAAAATTATTTTTTAAGTATTATATTATTATTATTAAATTAACTTTTTCAAGTTATTGTTTAAATATTATAGTAATTCCTAATAATAATAATATACTATATTTTTTTTTATATAAAAATAAAATTAAAGTTACTAAAGAATTTATAATAATTATTTATTATTTAGAAAATATATTTATAGTAAATTGTTTTTTTCTATCAAATTCAAAAAATAGAATAAAACATTTTGTCTTTTACACTTATTCTATACACTATTAAATGTTTTTATATCCGAAATTCTTAATTTTTCTAAAAGAAGTATTATTTTAAACTTTATTATAATCAAACTTTTTCATATTATACATTATATTCTTTATATTCTTATATTTTATGATTATATTATTGATTTTCTTCTATTTATTTCTGTATTGAGCTATCTAAACTTACTTTTTATAATATATTAAACTTAAGCAAAACAATTATTTGTAACAAAATTATCTTTGAATTTCAAACTCAAATTTTAATTATTCATATTTTTTTTAATAGAGTATATAATTTAAAGCAAATTTAATAATATACCAATATAATAAAAAACGATTAAGCTTTCCTTAAATTATAAAATATTTCATATTAAAGCAAAAAATTATTTATTTTAATAATTAGATTAATTAATTTACTAACCTAAATTTATATTAAAAACATATAATAAAACTTTTTTTTATTCTTTTATTTATTATAATTATTGTGAAAAGAAACTTTTGTCATTACAAGCATTAAAAAAATATATGATACAAAATTAAACATTATTTTTTTAATCTTGGCAGTTGATTTCTTTAACAGTTAATTTTATTTACTCTGTTAATGACTCTTATAATTAAAATTCGCTTTAAATATTTTTAGATTATTGAATTCTTTTTTACTATAACTAATAAAATTAATAAACTTTTAGTTTGTCTATAGTAGGCTGGCTATTATTATGCTTATAAATTATAATTTTATTAAATAAATAAATTTAATTAAAAAAAATATCAGATTAGATAATTTTACAACTTATGTAATTTTTGCACTAATATTTTTCTTAAAGTTATTTCATTCATTTTTTTTTTTATTTATGTTCTTAAAATTATATTATTGAATTTTAGGCCTATTAATTTCTTTATTCTTTTAATTTTTGAAATTATTCTAATTTTTAAAACTATTTATTTATATAGAAAGTAAAAATATGATTTTTTTTTTATTCATATTCAGTATAAAAATGATAGTTATTCTATTATTTTATATTTTATTAAAAAACTAATTCATGTTTTTATCACTTCTATTTATAATTACGAAATTCTTTTTTTAAATAAATAAAAAAAAGATAATATTAAATACATTTAAAAATATTTAACTTTTTATGTTCATTATAATAATTAGTAAGGATTAAAAAAAATTAATTTTATAATTTAAATACATCACATTATTTTTTACTTTATTAAAATTAGTCCTACTCTTTTTTATTATTATTATATATTTTTTTTTATCTTATAATCTAAAATGTTAAATTTATAAAATTTTTACTTGCTTATAAAATTTGGTTTTATAATAATGGATAGACTCTTTGATTATTCATATTTAAATTATAATTTTTTTAAAAAATACTATTTTATATCTTTTTTTTAATTTTTTTTAAAATAAATCAAATTTCTTAAAATTTGTTTTGAATTCTCTTAAAAGATATCTCCTTTTCATTAATTTATTATTTTATCTTCTCATAAAATTATCTTTTTTTTAAAAGATTCCACATATTTTAAAAAGAACGCTAAGGTAGCTAATCTATTTTTGCATTTTTAATTATTATTTTTTTAATTATAAAAGCTTTTTATTACTAAATTAATTTTTATAATGCATTTATATAAAAATTATATTTAATTAATATTTTAAATTAAAAATTAGAAATATTTTATATTTTATTTTACTTTCATATAAATAATATATTTTCTTAGTTTTTTACATATTAAAACAAGAATTTGATTAAGAAAATACTGATAAATATTTAAATAGAGTTTCTATAAATATAATAGTAATTTTATATAATAAATAATATAAATTGACATAATTTTTAAAGATTTTATTTAAAAAGAAAATTGCTTTGTATAAAATAATTATAATTATATTATTAGATAATATTAAACTAATGCAATCCATAGATTTTTTAATCTTTTTTAAGAATAATTTTTATAAAAAATAAAATTTTACATGTAATAAAATTGTAAAAAGAATAAAATACTTGAAAAAATATATATCTAAAATATTTGAAAATAAATTTTAAGTAATATTTTTATGTATATTTAACATAAAAAAAAATAATGTAATTATATTTTTTATAATAAATATATAATTTTTTTTTTATAATATTTTCATATTAACTTGAATAGCAAATTCAAATAAATGCAAGCCTTAAAATTTAAAATTTTCCTAAAAAAAGAAACAATATAATTACAATTTAAAAATAACTTGTATGATTTCTATTAAAAAAAATTAATTAATAAATTAAAAGTATAAAAAATACTTAAATAACAAAATAATAGTTTGTTTCTCTAAATTTAATGTTTAAAATTAATTTAAAAATAAAACTATGTCTAACAAGTAATGGATATAAAATTCCAATGATTTCAATAATATTATCAAATTTAAATAATTCGAAATTTTAAAAAATATTTTTTTTAAAAAAATAAACTTGGATATATATAAAATATATTTAAATATTAATGTATTATATTATTATCACATTTTTATTAATTATAATAGATTAAATATAGATATAAATCTAATAATAAATTAATTATAAATTAATTTTTAATATATATTTTAATATTTTGTTTAAATATTTAATTATTTTTATTTTATATTGAAAAATGTATATAATATATAAATTAATAAGAAATTATTAGTTATGGTATTGCTTTAAAATGAAAATAAATTATTTTTATTTGATTATTTTATTATAAAATAATTATTAACATTATAATCTTACAAATATTTTTTTTATATATAATATTCATACGAAATTTAAAAAAAGTTAAATATAATCAACTTTATACTTACCAGAAATTTAAAATTACATTTCTATTTAAAATTACCTGAGCAATTTTTTTAAAATAAATATATTGCAATTTATATATAATGTGGTTAATTCTTCTTAAGTTTTATAAATCATATCTTTTATAATTTATAATTAAAAGATTAATTAATAATAAATATAAAAAAAAATATATATAATTATTTATATTAACAAACTATTTTCTTTTTATCTATATAAAAAAAAATATAAAAAACAAATGAATCTAGTCTCTTATACGTAAAGCTCATCTGAATTTGAATTAATGAATACTAAAAATTAATAATATGACAGTTATGAAGAAAAAAGCCAAAGAAAATCTTTAAAAAAAAAAATTACCAAAAAAAAATTACCTTAAAAATAAAAAAATAAAATACTTAAAAGATCTCCAAATTTAAAGTAAAATAGCAATTTTAGTATGAATAAAGAAAAATAGTCTTTTATTAATTCTTAAAAATAAAATCAAATAAATAAAAGTAACTCACCCCCTTTATTTAATACTGTTGGCGCGTAAAACAATCAGCAAGAAACTCTTTAAAATGTTATCAGATCTAGAGAAATCTAAGAATAATATATAAAATAAATTACTGGAGTTTAAAGTATTGATTGCTTATTACAAGCTACTGAGTTTAAATTAAATTAAACAAAATAATAAAATATTTAAATGCTTCAACAAGTTACTAATGCTAGAATTAAGTAAGATTAGATTGTTAATAAACTTCTTGAAAATAATCTATTTATGAGTAAAATAGTTTAGAAATGAAAAAATAAACAAAAGATTGTTTTTCAATAACTTAGAAAGACGAGGAATTTATAAACTAAATTTAGTGTTCATAATAAATAAATATTTAGAGTTAAACAAATATTTGTAATAAATCAAATAAAACCAAAAAATATAAGTAATATAAACAAAAAAAATAATATATAATATCCGTATATATGTAGAAAAAATAATATTATGATAATTAAAAAAAAAAATATTTTATAAAATTATTTTATTTTTTCCTTAAATTTTTAATTTATATTTTTTATTTAATTTAAGTGATTAAAATTTTAATAAATCTCCAAGCTTTTTAAATATAGATTAAATGTTTGTAGAAAATGACAATAAATAAGATTTTTTTAGCCTAAACTAAAAATAGTTTAATCATAATATATAAAACGATAATTTCTAAGAAAATAATTAATCTTAAAAGTATATATCTATTTTAAATTATGATGAAGATAGTCTATTTATGGATTGCTAATCATGCTTTAATTAAAAATTTTCATACAATAAATAAAAACTTAATGATAACATTTACTAATAAAATAAAAATATTCGGTAAGTTAGTGAAGCTACAACAAATTTATGTCATAACTCTAGTGACATATTAAATTATGATTTTAATTTTAGTTGTGAATGCTTAGACTGAAAAAGATTATATTTATAATCATTTAATTATTCTATTTTTATATTTATTTATTTTTTTATATTATGATTATTTAGTTTATTTTTATTATTTATAGATTTACATATTATATAAAAGCTTTTTTAATAAATTTTAACCTCTAAAATTAAATAGCATATTGTATTATTTTTTATTTATATATGATATTTTTTCTTTATAAAGAATAAAATAAAATAATTTTTCAAAATTAATTAAATTTAGCAATTAATTTTTTATAAAAATATTTATTTAAATGAATATTAAATTTTAATAACATATAAAAATACAATTTTATGTAGAAATTATAATTTAAAAGCAATATATTTAAATATTAAAATAATATATTTAAATATTAAAATTTCATATTTTAATATTAAATTAGTTATTTCCATATGATTTCATTTTAATTTTATTTAAATTAACCAGCTATTATTATAAAGTTATATTAAAAAATACTTTTTTATTATTAAAATATTATTTTTTTATTAATAAAATATTTTTTTTTATAAGAAAATAATATTTAAAAGTTATTTATTTAAAATAAGATATTTTTTAATTATATATAATTTTCAAACCCAGAATGAAATTTTTTATATAAATTAGAATATTATAATAAAATTAAAAATATTATAAAAAACTATAAAATAATTTTAAAAAGAAAGATAAAATATAAACAAATACGTTATTATTATACATATATATAAAGTCATTTTTAATAAACATCATAGTTTTAAAAACAAATATAGCCTTATATAAATAAATGATATAATATAATATTTGATTTCTTATTATTAAATAAAAAAATCAACTATTATATTCAATGTTCGATCCTTTAAATTATATATTTATTTTTTGTTTTTCTCTTCATTACAATCATCGTATTCATTATTTTCTTCTTATATGCTATCTTTTTGCTATATCTCTTTTATAAATAATAATAAAAATTTACATATTAAAAAAAATTACAAAATTAATTTTTTGCTAATTACTATATTTATTATTATTAATCTAAACTTCCAATAGTATAATAAAAAGCATTAGAAGGATCAAGTTTTTAATTTTAGGCAAGCATAACAGGATCTCTTGTGACAAAAGAGTTAAGATTATCTTAAATAACTTATTATTAACTTTCATCATTGGTTAAATAAGGAATTCTTAAAGGAGTAGTAAACAAAGAATTGTTTTTTTGTCTAATTTAAAATGATTCTAATTGTGAGGAAGAAACATCATCTATAGACATCTTTTTCATATATTAAGTTTAGAAGTAAGGATGTTCAAGGGCTTATTTTGAATTAATTCTTTAAATAGGATCTTTTTCAAGAAGTCTTTATAAAAGATTTTTACAGTCTTATGAAAGATTTTCATAAATAGGTTTATTAAAATCAATGATACAATCTTTATTTTTTTTCAAAACATCATTAAATTTCTTTCCTAGAAAAACAGCTTCGCCAGTAAGCCTTTAATAAAAAAATATTTGTATTTATAAATATGTATTTATAAATATATATATTACAAAATATGAAAAATTATTCCTATAGAAAACATATCACATATAGCTGAATATCCTGAATTTTTATCAACTAAATTAGCTATTTCTGGAGCCACAAAACCTGGGGTTCCGCATTTAGGAAAAATATAAGGATCGTCATTCACAAATGATGCGAGTCCGAAATCGACAATTTTTAAAATTATTTTGTTATTTTTTTTTGAAAAGAGAATATTTTCAGGTTTTATATCTCTGTGCATGATATTATTTTGAGTACAATAATCTATACCTTATATTAGCAATTTTATTATTTCTTTAACTTCATTATCTTTATAGGGTGTTTATGAATGCTTTTTTATTTCGTCATATAATGTTGTACCATCAACTATTTCCATTACAAAGTAAAAAGTATTTTCTCCTTCAAATACTTCAAATAATTTTATTATGTTTAAATGGTTTGTTAAACAACGCATTATTCTTAATTCATTGTATAAAGAAAGCTTTTATTTATTTATTTTTTAAAATTTATATTTCTTATATATTATTTTTACCATTCCCTTATCTATGTCATATAATTTTTATTTTTCAAAACATTTTACTGCATATCTAACTCCTGTACTTCTATGGATTGCTGAATAAACCTTTAAATAATTTCATAATATGTATATATATATATATATATATTACTCTAGCATAATTTCCTTTTCCAATTTAATTTTCAACTTTATATTCATCTTAAAATTTAGCTTAAAATATTCTTTAGCTGAGAAAAGATTTTAATTTATTTAATGAAAGTTCTTCAGCAAGAAATTCATAAAAATTTTATCCTACTTATAATTAAAAACCTAATAATTAATACTAGAGTTATTATTTATTATAATTCCATATTATACGATTACTAGGAATTAATTCGATTATTTTATTAGGAACTTTTTAAAAGGGATTCTAATTTTTTAATAAAAAATTGTTATTGTTATAAAAATAAAATAAATATTTAAACTTTGCAAATAAGTAGAAATTCATTTAATAGATATCCATATCTTACTTTTTTTTTGTCACTACTAGATTTTTTCTAAAGTTAAAATTAAAGTTAAGTTAGAGAATAATTAATACATTCATTTATCATATATTTATTTATATCAATATTACTTTTAAAAATAATTTAATTTTAAACATCAATAGCTTTATATTATATAGTATTATTATTATTAAACATTTTATTTATTTATTTATTTATTTTTTTATTTATTTTTTCTTTCTTTTTTTAATTTAAAAAAAATACATTAAAAAATTATTTTTATTGGTTAAAAAATTATTTTAATAAAAATATTAGATATTAAACACTAGAGAAATAATTTATGAAAAATTAAATATTTAATTATTTTTTAATATAAATTATTTGTTATCATATATTAATAAATTTTTATTTAATTCATTCTTCGATTTTATTTTTAGGATAATTTAATTCCCCAAAAACAATTGCTAATGTAGCAGCTGTGTTTTAATTAATAAGCCTAGAATCTATTCCTAGTTCTTTTAATTTAAGTTTATTATAACGAATTTGATCCATAATAAGTTCCATTCTTTCTTAAAAGTTTCTTTATTTTTCCAAATTGGAAAACAAATTTATTGGAGATTCGAAAATTTCCATCAAAATTTATACTTATTAAGATCCTAACCCTTAAATCTATCTTAATATATGTCCAAATTATTCTTTAAGTGTTAGATTTGCATTTTTTCTATTTCTTAATTAATAATCTTTCATACTGAATTTAAACTCTAAATAATTGCTTTTCTAAATATAATCTTGTGTAAATTTAATAATGTTTTTATGCATAAAACTTAGCCATTAAATAGTTTCTTGGAAACATTTTGTCCTTTAAATTTTAAAATTTTCTATTAATTATGTATTTATTATTGCATTTTCAATTTAAGTTTAATTTATTTTTAAATTTTTATGATTTTTAAAATCACCTTCAATTAAATAATACAAATTTTTATTTGACTTTTTTAATATCTATTTTTATACAATTATAAAATTTAAAAATATATATAAATTTAAAAATAATATGCCTGTATTTTTATTCTTTATAACGATGATCATATATACTTGCAGCTAAATCATCACCTGTTTTTCTTTCTATAACATAATCTAAAACATAACTTTATTTTGTATTATCTTACACTTTATTATTATATTTTTTTAAATAAATTATTATGAATTTTTACTTTCTATATCTATTACCCATAAAAAATCGCCTAAATAAATACTTTCTACTCTACAAGTGACATTGTTTTATTCAAGTTTTTCTTAAAAAGTTTAAGCGCGATTATTTTTATCAGTTTTTTCCCTAACATCAATAATAAGATAAATTTAATAATGTTTAATTAATGCTTTAATTTATTTAATTAAATATTTAATTTAACAGTAAAATTATAATTTTACACTTTTTAATAAAAACATTAGACTTTTCTTAAGGTTGTTTTTATTGAGAAACATTTGTGTTTTAATTAAAATTATTAAAGTTAACTGAATTACTTTAAATTTATGATTAAATATCATTCTGGATATCATCATATTCCGAAAAATTAATTGATGCTTATTTGAATATATTTTGACTAGATAAAGGCTTTATAGACATCATATCTAATTGTTATTTATTTTTTCCTCTTTTAAACTTCTATATTTTCAAAACAGAAAGGCTATTATTACTCTCTGATTTTTCTTCTATACATTAAGAACCATTTACAGAGTTTGAATTTTTATTTAATGAATATGATTATTTATTTAAAATATTATTATTATATATAGAATTCGAATTGCTTGTATTTCTATTATATTTACTTTCTTGTAATAAATTACCTAAACTATCTTATGTTAAATTTTTTTCATCAATATTTATTGTATTATTTTGTGTTTAAGAACTTGAAATTACTTGATTTTGGCTGTTTAATAATCTATTAGTTTATATTTATATAGGTTGGCTTTAAATTCTTTATTTTATATTAATAAAATTATTTAAACTTTATATTTTTTAAGAAGATTAGCATGTATTCGAAGATTAAGAAATTTACTAATTTTACGATTAAGTATTTCTTTATATTGTATTTTCTTATTCTAAATCACTTTCATTTATTAAAATTGCATCTTCATATTCTTAATTTTCATTATTTAATTATTTTTTATAATTCTCTTTTACTAAACCATATATTAGATTTCCCATTTTCTCTCCAATTCCATTCAACATTAATGCTTGTTTTCCTTTTTTTATATTTATTTAAATTTATGATTTTTTTTTTAAATATAAGCTTTTTTAATTAATGAATATTGATTTTTATGATAGTTACTTGATAATATTGGGAGAGGATATTTTTTTAATGATGAAATTATTTTGGCATAAGTTAAAGATAAGTTTTTTCTTCCTTATAATTATGTTTATCTTTAAAGTATTGATATTTTATCTATTATAAATTAGTTTTATTAATTTAAAGCTTTTTTTTAATTATACGAATTAAAATTTTATTTTTAAGACATATTTTTTTTTATTAAATTCAATCTATTTTTTTTTTTCACTAATTTTTGAAATATTATTTTTAATTTTAAAATTAAAAAAAATTGCTATTAATTAATTAAATTGTTTTTATTTAAAAATTAAATTTATTAAAATTAATTAATATTTCATTAGAAATATAAATAATATATAATATAAGAATTTTTATTATAATACTTAAAAACTAAAAATATATTTATTAATTATTATATAGTAATACTTAAAAAAATATTTATTTGCATTATAAGACCAAAACTTTAAATTAATTTTTTAATAATAAAATTTAAGTTTATATTATTATATAGTTTAAATTAATATTAAGATTTTTAAAATCATATTACTTTTATAAAAATTATATTAAAATTTAATGAATATTTATAAAATTGTATAAATTTTATAAATTGTATTTATAATTATTTATTTTTTTAAAACTTAAAAATACATATATAGAAATATTGTAAAATAAAATAAAAGATATAATAGATTATTTATTTAATTATAATAAATATGTAAATAAATCGAATTAAGTTTAAAAAATTTAAATTAAATAAAAAAAATAATTAAATTTCATAAACAAATAAATGAAAAATTTATAAAGTCGATTTAAAGTTAAATAATTTTAATATTATTTTATAAAAAAAATTATTAAATATAAAAGAAAGCAATAAAAGTTTATTAAAATATTATAAAAAATTATTAATATATTTAATAAAATTGTTTAAATAAAAAAATTATTTATGATAAAAATATAGACACATCAAATATATTGATTGAAAAATATAGTTGCTTATATTAAAATAATATTTATTTTATTTATTTCAATTTTAATAACTTTTAAATAATAAAATATATATTATATAAAAAGTAAAATATAAAAAAATATTAAAATAAATAAAAATAGTTAAATAAATATACATTAAACATAGATTTATATATAAATTATAATTATATAAAAAATATATATATTTAAATATTATAATTATAAAAAATTATTAGAATTTATAAAATTAAATAATAATTCAAATAAATTTATAAGAAATTTAAATTATAAAAAATAATAAAAAGATTAATTATTTTATAGTTTATATATATATAAAAATATGTATTTAAATAAAAATATATATTATAAAATAAAATTTATAATTATTTTATTTAAGAATAATATAATAATAACATGTAATAATGTTAATAAATAAATTAAAAATATAT